GCTGGGCTAGATGGACCCTTGCCCAGTATGGCCATTCTGATCTTATATATAACCCAAATGTATCTGCCCCCGCTATATCACACTAGACCCCACTCCCCTCCCAGAGCTGGGATAGAACAGGGTCTCTCTCTCCACAGAGTTAGTAAAAAAAAAAAGTAAGAATATACATTAAAATTTTAAACCTAACCAGTGTCCGTTAAGTGACCTGCCAACAGATGTCAGAACATGTTAGTATTAGAGCTGAGTAAATCTAATATTTATTAAATTTTCTTTCTTTTATGTCGGAATTAGATACAGTGCTCCTGTCAGCTAATTTGTTAGTTATTATCTGCAGAATTTGTTACTTAAAGCAAGACATGCAACATCTATCTCTGTTTAAGGATGCGTTTAATCCACTGAGCCACCATCTTTGCTCAAGACACCCTGTTTGGACAATTCCCCCAGTGGTTCTCAACCTTTCCAGACTACTGTACCCCTTTCAGGAGTCTGATTTGTCTTGCGTGCCCGAGGTTTCACCTCACTTTAAAACTACTGGCTTACAAAATCAGACAAAAAAAATACAGAAGTGTCACAGCACTCTATTACTGAAATAATGCTTACTTTCTCATTTTTACCATATAATTATAAAATAAGTCAATTGGATTATAAATATTGTACTTACATTTCAGTGTATAGTATATAGAGCAGCATAAACAAGTCATTGTCTATATGAAATTTTAGTTTGTACTGACTTTGCTAGAGGTTTTTATGCAGCCTGTTGTAAAACTAGACAAATATCTAGATGAATTGATGTATCTCTGGCAGACCTCTGTGTACACGCACCCTTGATTGAGAACCCCTGCACTAAGGAATCTCAATATCTCTACCTGGTGGCCTACTTGATGTCAAGAATAAGTTTCAAACATAGCCAATGCCTATCTTGTGACAGCCTCCTGGTTTTACCTTCCACACCATCTTTATGTAAAGCTCAATCACTTCAGATGGGCAGTGATCAGATGTGCTGCTAATGACTATATGTGGTGCCTTTGTGACTTCCTGCTTTGCTGTTGTGGCCATTTAGAAGATGTAGGCCACATACATGCAGGCTGCACCCATTGGCAAGGGTGGGCTGGTTCCCTCTTCCTTCAGCTACGGAATGGTTAAGACAGCTGAATGGAATATGCAATGGAGCCCTGAAGCTGTTATAAGTTATTCTGGAAGCTGGCAGGCCCCATCATAGCCTAGGAATATAGGCAGTGCAAATCCATCTTTCCCTTTTTCTCCTATTTCTCTGCTGAGCACAAGAATGGAATAACACAGAATTGGTCACTAAATGTGTATGTAAACATGTTGCTCTCTATTGGCTGTATAAAGCTGCAAAAGAATATTCTGTAGCTAAGAGGGGCTTTTTATTGGCTTGTGCAATAGGGGTCTGTGTTTTTGGAGATGTAAGACTAGATTTCTATTCCTGGCTCTAAAGGTGTTTAATTTATTGTGGCGAAATGACAGCCTCTTCACATTTAAGTCTGACTTTATGATTTTGCTCCCCTTATACCTAATACACTAGATTGCGATACTTCTCTTACAAATTGTTTAAAATCTCCATATTTAGGCCAGCTGTAAAATGAGGCTGCTGATGCTTAATTTTGTAAAGGTCTTTGAGATCTGAAGATGAAATAGCTCTGTACAAAGCATTATTTCTCAGACACTTTTTTCAACATAGTATAAGGCTAAGAGAGGTCAAGTGACTTGGCTGCTAGTACTAGAAGATAGGTGTTTGCAGAATCAAGAGCTCTGCGTGCTAGTCTAGTTTTACCAATATTTATAGTGAAAGGTAGGCTAGACTGCACATGCATGCATGGCTAATTTAGCTGTGTAGTGAATGTGAGTAATAGTATCTTATTAGGTGCAGAGTGAATAAAAGAGAGGTTTGGGGAATCTCTCAGTGTGCAAGTTTCAAGATCTACTAAGATTTTTTTTTTAAATCTGCAAAGAGGTTTGGTTGAGTTTTAGGTACGTGCTTTGTTTGGTTCTTATTTAATTTAAATGGGTTCACATGTTCTTAGCTGTAATGTGATTATCAAATAAATTATTTTGATAGTTGTAGACAACTGTGTTCATACACTTCATGAGTGAGTGATTGCTAAAGTCAGTGATCAAACATTCATGTATTTTTCCTATTAATCCACATATAGACATTTATGTGGCCTGATTTACAGAAATACTGAGTCCTTTTGAATGTGCTGGAATTTTCAGCACCTTTGAAAGTCAAGGTACCCGTGTAGAAGCCTAAGTATTCAGGTTTCTAGTGTTTCTAGTGTTTAAGCAAATGTCCATCATTTCTATCATAAAGTAGATGGTACTCTTATTATCGTTCTTAGTGAGACAGACTGACTGGACATCCGTAATATTTTACGGATATAAACAACATGGATCTATCAGGAAAAGATATAGATTAAATTAGATTATCAGAGAAGAGATTTCACAATTAGTGAAAAAAAGACTAGTATCGGACAAAATACCTATCACTCGGGAGTCTATTTTCATGTGGTTGTGAGGGTTTTCTAAAATGCTATATAAAGTATGTAAATACCTCATTACTCTTTGCTCAGTACAGGTATGTCTTATGTGCAACATTTTGTGTTCACTCTTGTATATACACTTGGGATTAGGTGTATCTGATGCATCAGCAGCATAATTTTTCCTCAAATGCTAGGCACTGAACTCAGCTACAATTAAATATTCAGCAGATACTCTATTGCTAGCTGGACTCATGTAGTAGTTATGAAAGATTAATTCAGTGCTAAATTCCTATTTAATGAGGGAGTTGAAGTAAGCATCGCAGTCTAAAATTTCAGACTTCAGGTTTAGAAGATTACATTTTTATTAGGCTTTGTAAAGGGCACACATGATAAATGATCTCTGTAGAATTTCTAACTTTTAAAATCACTCTCTTTCAGGATATCCTTCCAAATACATTAGCTACAGGTTTTGATACCAGTTGAGTTGAGGAACTTTCTTTTTGCACAGCTATGTCTCTTGGTAGGGATACTTTTAAGCAGTATCCCAGAATGTGTCAGCTTCCCTGCCTCACTGTCTTTTCCATTCCTTCTATCCCAACTTGCCTTTTATTTTGGATAAGGTTAATTCATGTTTGTGCTTGAGACCCCTCAGCATTTCTCTGGGAATTCAGGAGCAAACCAAATAGTCTATGTTGATGTCTTAATGTTGAAATAAACTGTCATCATCACAAGTGGTTAGCATAACATTACTCAATGGACAGTGGAAGATGTCTGGTTATATCTGTAAATGTTACCTGTTGGATGCTATGTGTAGTTTTCCTACCATCTACTACACAGCAGGTTGATCTAGCAGGATGCTTTGGTGCAATATCACTAATGACATAATGAGGGAACACTGTGCAATAAGATTTGGGGCATGGTGTCACCTGCCAACCATTATTTGGGCTTGATTTTAATAATAATAGTAAAAGGATGTTTTCCTTTAAAGTTAAAATTCCATTAATATGTTTTATTATAGTGCTGCTCACTGGAAATTTAGTGTTAGATTGTGTTCTGGGGTACAATCTCTTACAAGGAAGTAAGAATCCCCCTTATGTCCCTAAGCAGACTACCTAGATCTTGGCTCCAAACTCTCAGGAATAGAGGAGGGCTACAGGATGACTTACTCCCTCCTTGGATGGTAGGCAAGGCTAGTGTGGGGAAGGGTAGGGAAGGAGCAGAGTCCTGGTTCCATGTGTCTATTGGCTGGCTTGTGGATCTCAGTCAGTGAATGGAGTACTAATTATGTACACAAATGACTGAGAGGATTTTTTTTTAACCTCTGCTAAAAAGAAGTGTCACTTGTGGTATACTCCAGGCTGTGTTTTCTGATCCTCATATGCCAGTCAATGCTGTTATTTGTCAGATCAGTTGCTTCCTCAAGGATGGAAAAACTGGAGGGTTGAAATTCAATAATCTTTTCTGTTTTGAAATACTAATTAACTGTTGCACACTCTATTGTCAGAAAGCCAGCAACTGCATTAGAATTTTATACCCTTAGCAGCAAGCACAAGAGTTAGCTACAAAAGCAAGGTTAGAGAAAAAGGGAATTCTGCTTAAGACTAAGAAAATAAATACTGTGGACTAAATAAAAAATGTCTGTGATGGCCATGTTATGTAATATTGTATCAGTAAAAACTGAAATTCATTTGATCTGCTTACTATCCAGAAAAAGCTAGGAATGCTGTGGAGTTGGTTCTCTAAGATTTCAGCTAAGTGGGTCTTTCTTGTATCATGAGATACGAGTTTATTACTTCGCAGTGCCATTTCTGTGCTCTAAAGAGAGCTCAATTTAGCTCTCCTGCTAAGAAGATATATGGAGTAACATAAAGTCTGTTTTTACTCAGGAGAAAAATTAAGTAAAGATGTATGGAAGTGGAGGTTCAACTTAATACTCCTACATTCACTGGTAGGCATGATTAAATTATCAGTCAGGTTGATCCAATTTAATTTGCCAGGGAATAATGTCAAAATGGAGTCTGTGTTTTGGAATAGATAGTAGAAGACAGGGATTTTTAAAAATAAGCAATTAAGAAATACCCCAGAAATGATGTATATTACTAGATTTTTTATGCCACTACACTATTTGAGATCAGCACCATAGTATGTGAACACCCTTTTACATTTGTCCTTCATATGCGGTAGCTCTCAAAAGACAGATTTACAATCCGTGATAAGTAATGTGTAAGTAACTTTGTGAACACATTTACATCAATGCTCCCAAGTATTAGAAGCTACATGCACAGCCCCCAGATATATACACAAATCAGGGACAGGTAGTTGTTGCACATATAATTTCTATCATTTCAGCACATGTGATAGTGCCAGGAAACTGCAACAGAAGTGATTTGCATGTGCAAAGGTGAATGTGACCACAAAGAGTTTAGGTTTAGGATGGTTTGACAGGAAGGCCAAATCTACACACCAAAACCTCAGACAGTTCTGTCTTCTAACTTTCAGGACTACAATGATGAAATCCGTCAGGAGCAGCTGAGAGAATTGTCGTACTTGAATGGTTCTGAAGATTCAGCACGTGGACGGGGCATTCGTGGAAGAGGAATCCGGGTACCACCTGCAGCTCCATCAAGGTACTTTGTTCTCTTATGCAGCCTGTTGAAACACACATGCTCTTTATAATCTGATTATTAACATAGTCAGTAAGCCAAAATATATTTCTCCTCAACACTGGTATGTGGTTGTTTCAGTCCCAAGTCTATGACCCACAATTCACAGATGTTAGGGCCATAATGCTGCCAGAGCCTTGCTGTGCCAGTGTATCTGGCTATGGAAGAATCATCCAAGGTAAGTTTCAGAGTAACAGCCGTGTTAGTCTGTGTTCACAAAAAGAAAAGGAGTACTTGTGGCACCTTAGAGACTAACCAATTTATTTGAGTATAAGCTTTCGTGAGCTACAGCTCACTTCATCGGATGCATACTGTGGATGAAGTGAGCTGTAGCTCATGAAAGCTTATGCTCAGATAAATTGGTTAGTCTCTAAGGTGCCACAAGTACTCCTTTTCTTCATCCAAGGTAAGGGATTTCTCCAATGACAGAGTCAGTTTCGCTATTACAGGCAGCATGGCTGGAGCTAACTTAAGTCCTGTTGAGTCCCAACTAACAATCATCTTGGGGTATTGACAGCAGGTGTAACTCAGAGCAGCCTTACTAGAGTATGCAGCCTGCTCCAGATTGAGCAAAATGAAGGACTCTTTTTGCACGCGTGTGCAGAGACACACACATACACACACACACACACACACACTGGAGTGTGAGCTGTTTATCTGTATTGGAAGGTCTGAGACATTATCACTGCAAATTCATTAATGGATTAAATGAATACATTCTGTGCTACATTGTTAGGCATTGTTAATTCCATGAAGGATAACATTATTAAACAAATAATGTTATTTACAGTATATATTATCAGTTCTAATTGGATTAGCTAAAATTTGTGTCCTACACTGGCTTGCACAATCCTTCCAAGTATTACCGGATTCTCTATGATATTTTCATGTTTTCACTGTAACTATATATCACTCTGACTTTGCTCACAAGGCCACTATATGTTTTAACTTGTATTGCTCCTTAAGACCCACTTCCACTCTTAAGCCCACAGGAAATTAGCCATTTAAAGCAATACTTTAACCCAGGTTGACCCCTGTACCTACATAAATTCATTTCTGGATGGAGCTTAATATAGGTCTGTTTTTAATTAAAAAACAAGCAAGCAAGAAAAGAAACTTCAACCTCCTGCATCCATCATGTTGTTGACTAATATTCATTAATCCATTTATTTGATTTATGTTGTCCATGTCCTTTGTTCCCCAAAGGTCCCCATACTGTTTGTTACTCTCCCTTCAGTTCATTAGGGGGAGGTATCACATTTAAATATCCATATTGTGAGACACTTAGCACACTCTTACACATGATAAAATACTAAATTATATTGATTTTTTTTCTCAAAGTGTTGTATTTATTAAGGTCTGCCTCCTCCAGCTCATATCACTGTAGTTGGGATACTGTACCATTAGAGCAGACCTCTTAGAACATAAGAACGGCCATACTTGGTCAGACCAAAGGTCCATCCAGCCCAGTATCCTGTCTACCAACAGTGGCCAATGCCAGGTGTCCCAGAGGGAGTGAACCTAACAAGTAATGATCTAGTGATCTCTCTCCTGCCATCCAGCTCCACTCTCTGACAAACAGAGGCTAGGGACACCATTCCTTACCCATCCTGGCTAAGAGCCATTAATGGACTTAACCTCCATGAATTTATCCAGTTCTCTTTTAAACCTTGTTATAGTCCTAGCCTTCACAACCTCCTCTGGCAAGGAGTTCCACAGGTTGACTGTGCCCTGAGTGAAGAAGAACTTCCTTTTATTTGTTTTAAACCTGCTACACATTAATTTCATTTGGTGACCCCTAGTTCTTATATTATGGGAACAAGTAAATAACTTTTCCTTATTCACTTTCTCCACACCACTCATGATTTTATATACCTCTATCATATCCCCCCTTAGTCTCCTCTTTTCCAAGCTGAAAATTCCTAGCCTCTTTAATCTCTCCTCATATGGGACCCGTTCCAAACCCCTAATCATTTTAGTTGCCCTTTTCTGAACCTTTTCTAATGCCAGTATATCTTTGTAGAGATGAGGGGACCACATCTGTATGCACTATTCAAGATGTGGGTGTACCATGGATTTATATGAGGGCAATAAGATATTCTCCTTCTTATTCTATATCTCTTTTTTAATGATTCCTAACATCCCGCTTTCTTTTTTGACTGCAGCTGCACTGTGTGGATGTCTTTAGAGAACTATCCACGATGACTGCAAGATCTTTCTCCTGATCAGTTATAGCTAAATTAGCCCCCATCATATTGTATGTATAGTTGGGGTTATTTTTTTCCAATGTGCATTACTTCACATTTATCCACATTAAATTTTGTTTGCCATTTTCTTGCCCAATCTCTTAGTTTTGTGAGAACTTTTTGAAGTTCTTCACAGTCTGCTTTGGTCTTAACTATCTTGAGCAGTTTAGTATCATCTGCAAACTTTGCCACCTCACTGTTTACCCTTTTCTCCAGATCATTTATGAATAAGTTCAATAGGATTTGCCCTAGGACTGACCCTTGGGGAACACCACGAGTTACCACTCTCCATTCTGAAAATTTACCATTTATTCCTACCCTTTGTTCCCTGTCTTTTAACCAGTTCTCAGTCCATGAAAGGATCTTCCCTCTTATCCCATGACAACTTAATTTACAGAAGAGCCTTTGATGAGGGACAAAGGCTTTCTGGAAATCTAAGTATACTATGTCCACTGGATCCCCCTTGTCCACATGTTTGTTGACCCCCTAATAGATTATTAACTCTCATAGATTAGTAAGACATGATCTCCCTTTACAGAAGCCATGTTGACTTTTGTGCAACAATTTATGTTCTTCTGTGTGTCTGACAAGGAGGGCGAATGTGTCTGCTGAGGAGGGTGAATGCCCCATCTGACCAGATACTGTTCCAATATCTCTTCTCTGTCCTGCATTATATGGAAACAACACCACCATTTTTTCTGCAGATTTTTGCCCCTGCCATTGAAAATGTGAAATCAGCATATTAAGATCTTGCTTCTCATAGTATTCCTTTGATTTGACTAAGAGGCAGCAAAAAGGACATGAATTTTCAGTTATTTTAAAGGATATTGTTAAATGGTTTAACTTGCAAAATTCACCTTTCCCCACTACTGCAATCTGGTGAGGGGTATTTTTCCAGGCTTTAAATACAGCTTAAAAGCCCACCATCCTGTCAATAAATTTTTGGACATACAATAGTTACTGTCTATGCAATATTTTTTACATTGTTACTGCAAAGTCACACAAAGGAAACCAAAAGTTAACTACCAAACCCCATTCCCAGGACAGTGCTGACATAATTGATTCTGTTGATTCACAAACAAGGAAGTAAATAGAGCAGACCCATATTGGCTTTTACTTTATAAAATATGAAGTGGGGCGGGGAGGAAGTCAATGTCTGATAAATTGAAAAGGACTCTAACAGAAAGGGTAAGAACATTTTCAAACTTCTTCTTTTTTGCCTTCACTATGTCCTGTTTGTCGGTGTTGGCAACTCATGTTCTTTGTCTTTCAAGCATACAGATATAAGAAGATAAGAATGGCAATGATCCATCTAGCCCAGCATCCTGTCTTCCATCAGTGGCCTTGTTCATATTCTCCTTCAGTGTCTCAAACCACCTTTTTTCTGGTCTTCCTCCTAGTCGTCGTCCCGTGATTACTAGATTTTGTACTCTGACCAACATATCCCATGTCTCATCATCTCACATGACCCAACCATCTCAGGTGATACTCCCACAGCTTTTCCATGATGGGGGCTACCTAGATGATATATTGTACCATTTTACTGCATAGCCTATAAGTTGTCTTACATAGCTTCTGCCTTAGCGATCTCATTTCAATGGTGTGAAGTAATTGTTCTTCTCTATTCCTCCTTGGCCAGAATTCCGACCCATTCATCATGGATGGCTTAATCATTTTCAAACTATGAAGAAAATATTGAAAACAATGAATTCAAGTTAAAAAATGAAAAACATTATAACATTTTGGGCAATATCCCTTCAGCAATAGAAATTAAAATACACAAATGGCAAATTTGAAATATGGGGCCAGATCCTCAACTGCTATGAATTAGTGTAGTTCTGTTTACTTCAATGAATGCCCCATGACTTCCTTTAACAAATTTACATCCTACAAATGCCTATTGTATTTTGTAAGGTAGTTTTTTCAATGAATAACTCTAAAAAATATTTCAGCAAATGAAATAGCTGGACTTCAAGTCATTTGGCAAAGCACAGTAGACTAGAACATGTAAAATCATTGCAGAAAGGTCACACCTACTCAGAATCTACAGTATCAGCAGCAGAAACTTGTAGAAAAACAGGCTCACATGAGATGTAGACATTTAGAATCACACATAGAGCCTCACATGAGATGTAACTTTTTAGGATCACACATTCTTCATATACAGTTACACAGGGATTAAGGACAAAATTTTCAAATGTATATGCCTAGAGTTAGACATGTAAATCCATATTTAGGGCTCAATCTAGTCCCCCAGTGAAGTCAATGGAAAAGCCTCCGTTGACGTCATTGGAGCTGGGTCAGGCTTGTAGACACCTAAATAGTAATGGCCTAATTTTTAGAAGTGCTGAGCACCCACCCCCCCATTATTTTTCAAGTGTAGACCCAAGTATTATAATAATGATACTTAGCATTTGCAAACCAACCTAATAGCTTTCTAGAGAAATGGTCTGAAGTAAAAAGGATGAAATTCAATAGGGACAAATGCAAAGTGCTCCACTTAGGATGGAGCAATCAGTAACACACATACAAAATGAGAAATGACTGCCTAGGAAGGAGTACTGCAGAAAGGGATCTGGGGGTCCCGGTGGATCACCAGTTAACTATGAGTCAACAGTGTGACATCATTGCAAAAAAAGCAAACACATTCTGGGTTACATTAGGAGTGTTGTAAGCAAGACACGAGACATAAATCTTCCACTCTACTCCATGCTGACAAGGCCTCAACTCAATTATTGTGTCCAGTTCTGAGTGCCACATTTCAGGAAACATGTGGACAAACTGGAAAAAGTCCAGAGAAGAGTAACAAAAATGATTGAAGGTCATGACCTATGAGAGAAGTTTGAAAAAATTGTGTTTGTTTAATCTGGAGAAGAGAAGACTGAGAAGGTAAGTTTGGCGGACAGTCAAGATTTCCCACACTCCACCACAAGCACAGGGTGGAGCAGCCACATTTCAGGAGGGCACTAGGAAGTCGGGGATATGGTTGGTTGGACTCAGGTATGCATACTGTAGTGTGGACGCTGGAGCCCTGGGCCTAGGTTAGAAAATTGTTAACCCTAGGGTTGGTAATCAGTGCAGATGCTCAAGCCCTGGGTTCTCTAACCCAGGGTCATAGAATCATAGAATATCAGGGTTGGAAGGGACCTCAGGAGGTCATCTAATCCAACCCCCTGCTCAAAGCAGGGCAAATCCCCAACTAAATCATCCCAGCCAGGGCTTTGTCAAGCCTGACCTTGAAAATCTCTAAGGAAGGAGATTCCACCACCTCCCTAGGTAACCCATTCCAGTGCTTCACCACTCTCCTAGTGAAAAAGTTTTTCCTAACATCCAACCTAAACCTCCCCACTGCAACTTGAAACCATCACTCCTTGTTCTGTCATCTGGTACGACTGAGAGCAGTCTAGATCCATCCTCTTTGGAACACTCTTTCAGGTAGTTGAAAGCAGCTATCAAATCCCCCCTCATTCTTCTCTTCTGCAGACTAAACAATCCCAGTTCCCTCAGCCTCTCCTCATAAGTCGAGTGCTCTAATCATTTTTGTTGCCCTCCGCTGGACTCTTTCCAATTTTTCCACATCCTTCTTGTGGATGGACACAGTACTCCAGATGAGGCCTCACCAATGTCGAATAGAGAGGAATGATCACGTCCCTTGATCTGCTGGCAATGTCGCTACTTATACAGCCCAAAATGCTGTTAGCCTTCTTGGCAACAGGGGCACACTGTTGACTCACTGTCTTGAGTTCCTCTAACTGTAGGCTTACATTGAAATGTAGACATACCCAATGTGGCTTAAACCTCTGTTTGCCAAGTTTCCCAGCAGTAAAATGAGCATCATAATTATGGCCCACCACTGTAAAGTGCTTTGAGATCTGCAAGTGAAAGGCCTCATTCTTTCCTCACACTATTTTTACATCAGTGCAACTCCACTGTATGTAATGAAATTACTTCTGATTTGCACCAGGGCAAGCGAGAAGGGAATCAGGTGCAAGGGTTGCACAGCCCTAGCAACTTATTACCTTTTCATGAAACCTACTGACATATTCCTTTTTGAGGCATTTTCAGATGTATCCTAAAAGCTCTTAGCAGTGTAACTCTCAGGTGCTGCTAAAAGCTTGTGGTATGTGGTGTGTTAAACTGTGATAAGAGAATAAGAGCCTTTAAGATTGGATAACAATTATGTTCTCAGCTCAAGTACATGTCAATATATTAATTTCACGTCTTTGTTTCTCTTAGAGGACGTGGGGGTGCAATTCCTCCTCCCCCACCTGGGCGAGGTGCCCAAACACCTAGAGGGACACCAGTGACACGTGGAGCACTCCCAGTTCCTCCTGTAGCTAGGGGCGTTCCAACCCCTCGAGCAAGGGGAACTCCAACGGTCCCAGGCTACAGACCACCCCCTCCTCCAGCACATGAGGCCTATGAAGAATATGTAAGTAACTGTATATTTTGATAATTGATATGAGCCAAACTGCTTTGGCAACTTACAGGTACCTCTGTATTTGAGGACACTGGGTAGGTCCAATAAATGCCTACTCTGTATCACATACCCTTCACTGGTGGTTATACACTGTGCATGAAAAACTGTGATTTAAGTGACTGGAAATCATTTGATGGTATCTTTTAATTTTACAAGTATTAGCTATGGACAGGAATAGGCTGAGTTATCCCAGTTATCTTTATATTTTCATGGGCATATGTCTTTGCAATAATTAAATATAAATGAATGGAGATGGGAAAAGCACACAAAGTTATTTCATCAATATATTCTTAAAAGATTGGGCTCATGTGTTGTGAAGACTGATATTCAGTGTTGTCTAATCATTTAATTTGTGCTATGAAAAAGATGCATTCACTTGTCTTGTTGAGCTGCTTCTACCCCCTTATATGATTTTACATACATAAAACACTTAGGAATTCTTGACAAAAGGTGTTTTTAAAATGTGTGGTGATATAGCATGCATATAGCACTCTAAATATGTATGCTGATTTCCAGAAATATAAAAAAGAAATCCAGTTGAAAACATATCTGGCCTAGTTTTTATAATTCTAAAAAAAGTTATCCTAAACTTTCAAAGTGGGCTTTTGAAATAACACAAGAAAGGTGGGTGCCTAACAAATGAGCAATATATTTATTCCAAAAAGCATATAAAAGACATTATTTATTGTAGGTTAGTTCTTAAAAAATAGAAGGCTGCACCTTTGTGGAAAAAATAGCAATTTTTGTGTATACTTTTTATGCTTTGGATTACTATTCTTTCATGTTATAGTTTATTGTTTTCTCTATTTGTATTCAAAATTAAGAGTATCATGGGTACAAGGAGGACACATGCAAATTCAAACCATCATCAGGAAAACTGAGGCCATAATACATATTTAATAAGGTATTGAAAATATTTATGTTGTAAACATAAGGTCTTTCAAATAATCCTTGTTAATGTTCCCACCTGAAACTATCACAATAACAACAAACACTCAAATAGAGGGAAAGTATTATCAAATATAATGTCTGATTTTTTAAACTACAGTAATTAAAAATGTAATATGAACATTTCTTCCCCATCCAATAGTCATGATATAGAACTATCAGTAGGTAAATCAATAAGAACATAGTTTATAGACAATTCAGAAATTAGAAAATCTCTGAAATCAGAGGAAGGAAATGTGGTAAAAGATATTCAGTGTCATAGAATCATAGAATTACAGAATATCAGGGTTGGAAGCGACCTCAGAAGGTCATCTAGTCCAATCCCCTGCTCAAAGCAGGACCAATCCCCCACTAAATCAATAGAGTGTCAAAACGGTTTACCAGTATCTCATGCATTTTTAGAGTCCAGATAAGCCACAGCCCCTTCAGTCAAGGTGAAAGACTATGTTATTGATTGCAAGTGAGAAATGAGGATCAGTTCTTTGTGTGCTACTACATATACATATTCCACAGCTGGTGAGAGAACATCCAGTGCACACATTGGAGAATATTTTAGTCTGCAGTATCTAATAGGGCAGTGCATGAGCCCATCTTCTTCTCGTGCATTCTGAGGATATAAAGGGCAGCGTATGGGGTCTACAAAGAGAGGTAGTACCAAGTCAGAACAATTGCACTCTTTGAGTAGTACTTTCACTGGTCTTCCCTTTCCATCCAGCTCTTACCTCTGACTCCAGGTAGCTGCTTATTTTGTCGGCAGCCACAACTTGGGACACCACTTTTACTGGTGGGCTAAACCAGTTGGAAGGTAACTATGAGGGGAAATGTCTTTCCCCAGCATACTAAGTCTACTTTGTCCAACCAGATGAAAGAGACCTCTAGGTTGAAGGGCAGGAAAGGCACTGCAACAACATATTGTGAAATATGTAAGGCATGGCAAGGCACAGCAGACATCAATGGCTATCCACTGCAGCTAATGAAGTTGCCAGTTGTTGTGGCCTTTTTTGCCACTGGTCTTCAACTGCAGCAACTGGGAGTGTGAGATTGCATCTGAGCAATGGTCTTCGCATTTAAAAATCTTCAGACACAGGCATTCATGCATCATTCAATAGGAAGTCCTACACAATGGGCAAATGGTGAAGTGACAGTGTAGCCTATGTGACATCTGTTCATGACCTTTCTCTTCGCAGATCAGACTATACAGCCACAAGAACACAGGAGATGCCATGATATCATTGTTGGATATGACAGATAGCCATACCCTCTGATGCAAGCACAATTCTGACTCATGCCACTGGGTCTTATGGCAGCTAGCAGGTTCATCAGCCAACAGGCAAAGCTCCACTTCCACCGGCTTCAGGCCTGGCTGTCCTTGGTCTACTGCCCAGGCAAACGCCACCTGGATAAGATGGTGCATCTCCTTCTCGTGGTCTTCCAGTCACTGGATTGGTGGAAGTACCAAAGCAATGTCTGCAAAAAGAGACCCACACAGTCCCAATTCACCTTCAAGGACCATAATCACAGAGACCTCCACCTTCAGGTGGGGGGCCAATATAAGCAATCTCACAGAGCAAGTCTTAGGGTCTATAATGCAGAGGGCTTTGAAAACCAATGTTCTAGTGCTCAGGGCTGTATACAAGGCATGTGTGGCCTTTCTTCTGGATATTTGCAGTCAGACAATCCTGGCCACATCAGATAATATGGTGGCAGTCTTCTACCTGAACAGCCAAGGGGAGCGGAGGCTAGAGGTGAGGACAGATTGCTATTATTGTGTCAAGAGGTTATCTAACTATGGTACTTTGCCACAGAACACAGCATTATCCTGGCAGAGGTCCATCTCCCATCTTCAATCTATCAGTTTGTCATAGTTCCCATATTTAGGTATGCATGGGGCAATTAGCTGAAGTTACTGTGATCAGAGTGCCAGATCAGCTGCTGTTGACCAGCACTCTGTCTCAACCTCTTACAACATTTCTCCTAGTGTGACCCTGTAGGAGATGGCAAATAAAAATGAGCTCTTAGAGTACTTCAGTTTTTCTGCATCACCTTTACTGATGAAGCCTGTGAGACAGGATTGCATTCCTGTCATTTTTTCATTAAGACACTTAAGATTGCTTGATTGAACCTTCAGTTTTTATCATCTGCCTGAAATATAGTGGTAAAATTAACAATCTTACAATATTTAAAAAACAAGGTGAGACTTTTGGAGGCTACTCATAGTTGGCTTCAGGTCACGTTGTGAAAGGCATTTGACTGTGAATCTGCCTTTTACCTCCCGTGATTCAGAAGCCATTTAGGAGCTGTGGTATTAGTTGTCCTTCACTCAGCAGATGCTGGTAGTTCTTCCTTTTGTTTTGTAAAGAGCTATAATCAATTTCTGACTGAAACCTAGAATGAGATTAGACCTGCTTCATCACTTCCCCCACACCCCCACACCAAAAGCTAGGAGCACTGGCCAATTTCAGTTTCAAAGCTAAATAAATCCATGGCTTAAATTTATCTTAAGATATCCAAGTTTGATTTCAATTTCCACTCTTAGACTAAACAGGGAGGAGTCCGCAATATGTCAGACCAGAACCAGTGCCCACTGAAGTCAGTGGAAATCTTTCCATTACCTTTAGTGTATGTTGGATCACGTCCTTAATGCACCATTTCATCTGAAATGAAAGCACAAAATTAATTTACTCTACCAAGTTTCCACTCTACTTAAGGATCAGATGGTGGAATATCCGACTCCCCTATAAACTGTTCTCTTGTCCAAACAATAAATATGCCTCATGTAAGGTTCTTTCCGCACACCCAACAAATGGCTGAAAGCAATTTATTCTTTAACATGATCACCTACTTGAATTTAATCTGGTGCAGACATGTCCTAGGTGTCAATATTCTTACTTTCCTTTTACCTTTAGAACTAAGTAAACATATCTCTTTATAACTACAAAAGATATAGCTTGTTTATCTTTTGGAGTGAGTGCAAAACAATGCTTTTCAGAAAGTCCCTAAAAAGAACCACAGGGAGTGAGATAGATTATGTGTTTAATGTCACGCTGTTCTTCCGCTGTGATGCACAGTTCATGCTATTTAAAATGAAAGAAAGCAAATGTCACATTCAACTGTTTACTCTAGGCTTTAATGGTTAATTATGTATTTCAATAGTTTTCAGACAAACTGGAACAAATATACTACTGTTTATTCACTAGCAGCACAAGCAATGAATAGCCTAACAATAGGGGACACATTGTCACCTTTTAACATTATTTGAAAAGAACAGCTAATATTCTTATGTGACTATGATTCCCAAACTGTGCTTGTGGAGGCTTTTGCTTAACATTTAAGCTAAAACCTTTACGGTATTGAAATCAATGTATCTGCCACAACCTAGAATGTGGATAGAAACTGAGTGTAAAGACCTTTACTTCATTAAATATTTGTATCCAACTCAGTGCCTTAACCAATGCATTAAATGGAGATATTTATGCCTGATCTTGCCCATTTTTAAAGTAAATTGCAACATTCCCAATGGATTTTGATAGGAAGTGGGGTCAGGACAGTTAAGGAGAAATATTTCAAGTCAAATACATTTAAAAGAATGAAAAAGATTGAACACAGTTATATACAAATATGAATTTATTTTACAAGTTGTAGACTATCATTTTCTGTAGTCCATTTGTTTCTGTGTCCATTCTGGCTGTTAAAAATGATGAAAAATCTACTGAGACCAAAGATTACCTGAATAAAGCTGAAATTTTAGACAAGGGAATCTGCATGGCTGACCAGCATATTGATTAAATATGGTTGTTTAGCTATTATGTCCAAGGCACTTAAAGAGCTAAGCTATGTTCAACTAATATCTTCTGTGACTTGAAAAATCAAATTGTATTTTTACTGTAATAGCAATAAACAGTGTGATGATGATATCATCGGGAAGACTATATGTTGGACTTTAGAAGAACATTATGAGTGATAGTTTCATGGATGTAAAGAGAGCAAGCTAAATTCTTTTGTTA